CGCCAAGCTTGTTTGCTTTTTTTTTTTTAAATATTTTATTTATTATTTTTAATTTATGTGTTTGAGTGTTATGCCTACATGTAGGTAAGTGCTTCTGTGTCGTGCAACGCCTGTAGAAGACAGAAGCGGCTGTCGGATCCCCTGGAACTGGAGTTATGGACAGTTGTTAGCTGCCATGTGGGTGCTGGGATTCGAACCTGGGTCTTGCAGAACAGTGTTCTTAACCACTGAGCCGTCTCTGCAGCCCCTTGTTTGCTTTTTAAAAAAAGGGTCTCACTATATAACCCTAACTGGCCTGGAACTCGCTATGTAGACCAGGCTGCCTCAAACTTATAAGGATCTGGCTGCCTCTGCCTCCTAGAGTGCTGCGATTAAAGGCCACTATGCCTATCTTAAAGCTTTATTTTTATTAGCTGAAGCCTGCAGGTCTCTAACATGCTACTCATTAAAGAGACTTGGAGAATAAACCATGGCATGCCTACACCAGAAGACCGTGCAGCTAGAGAAGGATGACTTGCTGTACAGTGAGTTCCATGATGTGTTCTGAAGTGAAAAAACAAACTGCAGACATGTTTACCATATGCTATCTGTTGAACAGGAATGAAGGGAATTAAAGGATAGACCAGAAACTAACAAAGTCTGGGACAGGTAAGAACAAAGTAAGAGCCCTTGCTGAACTGAAAATTTCTTGATATAATTTTGATTACCGAATCATGTGGTAACATAACCAAAAACAACAAAGCTCCATGACACTGCATTGCATACAACCATGAAAAAATGAGCTTAACTATGTTATCAAACTGGTAACACAGCATACAGCAAAGATTTTCAATAACTTCTGGCCTCAATGCTTTGGATACCTGCAGTGGGATATGTTCCCAAGTCAAGAGTATTACCCCAGGGGTAGTAACTATATCAAAGAGCTCTTAGATGAAATGAGTGATTCTGGTTCTGGGGCATCTTGTGCTGTCAATAAAGCTGAGGGTGGAGGGAGTACAAAAGCAGGGAAGAGAAGAATCAGGAAAACCTTTAGTAGTGGCCTAGGCATGGCCAAGTGTGTAGTCAGTAAGGGTTAGGATCTGTCTAGGGCAGATTGACAGAGCTCACTGATGGACTGATGGGGCAGGGCTAAGTTGAGGACCATGGCAAAGTCTGGGCCGATGGTGGTGCCACTAACTGAGACAGGGAACTCTGGGTGAGGACCAGGCACTCAGCAATATCTGCAGCTACTAGCTGCAAATGAGAGAGCCCCAGATGTACTCTAGCAACCAAGCTATATCCCCAGCCCTCCAGGTTCTTTCAAATTGAAATTATTTGTAGAAAACAGTAACTACGTGGCGACTTTTAATTTTGTGCATAGAAAGGCACGCAGATGTTTGGTATTATATTTTCTTACTGCTAATCACACACACACGCACGTACACACGCATGCACATGCACACTCACGCACGAAAAGAGTCTTATTCTGTAGCCAAGGCCAGCCTCAAATTCACAATTCTCCTGCTCTCAGCTTCCCCAGTGCCAGGAATATAGGTATATGCTTCCATGTCAGATAATTCTGCATTTAAAAACTAACAACTGGAGAGATAGTTCAGTGCTTAAGAGCACTTACTGCTCTTGCAGAGGACCCAGGTTTGGTTCCCAGATTCCTAGCACCCATATGGTGTCACACAACTGCCTGTAACTCCAGTTCTAGGGCTCCAATGTTCTGTTCTGGCTGATGTGGACTCCTGTATGCACATGGTACACAAACAGAAAAGTAGGCACACATATATACACATAAAAACAAAAACTTTTTTAAAAAGCGTGGTGGCACACGCCTTTAATCCCAGCACTTGGGAGGCAGAGGCAGGCGGATCTCTGTGAGTTCAAGGCCAGCCTGGCCTACATAGTGAGTTCCAGGACAGCTGGGGCTACAAGGAGACCCTGTTTCAAAAAGATAAAAAAAAGCCCACAAAGAAACCTGAATTCTTTCTGGATGTGGAATGAAGGTAAAAAAGATACAAAAGAAGTAATCCAAATGAGCTGACACTTGTCCAGGGGCCTGCTCAGTCCTAGGGTGAGGGAGGCACTTACATCACTGGCCATCACTGCAGGATACAACGGGGGGGTAAGCTGGGGTGCCAGACGACTCCGCAAGGTTGCCTTCCAAGAGGGCCTATGAAGTTTAGTGAAGCACATTTCCAAAGAAACCAAATACCCCTTTCCTCTTCCCTCTAATCAGCATATGTGTGTTTTCTTGTTTTCTTGTCTCCCCATCGCTCCATGATAACTAGGAGAACCAAGCAACTAGCTCACATGTTCACAGAGTTCTTAGGTGGAAGTATCCTCAGAAGAAGTACCTGTTAAACTTTTTAATGTCACAGATGGTGGAAAAAAGGAAGTTACATAAAGGAATTTGTCTGAGGTCACTGTTCAGTTCATGGCCAAGGAGAGCACTGAAAATGCATGGCTCTACTATCATTATAAACATGTATGTGTGTTCATCAACTGTCTCTGCTAGTGTGTCTACCCTATTAACCACTGTGATGCCCTTCCCTAGAGGGAAACGTGACCCTTGATACCCTTCCTGTGTCACCAGCATCTTTGCCTGCTCTCTCCTGCCTCTTTGGAGATCTTTCATACTGCAGGTGAAGGTGGCACCTTTGTGAAGGCTTCACTGCTTCTGCCTCTCTCTTGCCCTGTGCCCTGGAGCTGGAACACCCCCACCCCAGTGTACTTAAACATACTCCTGTGCACGTCAATCTCCATCTCCCTTCCCAGTACTCAGTACCTGACAAAAGAACAATACTTAATAAATACATGCTATGTGAATCATCAGGACATGGACAATGTACTACATCCTCTTCTTTTGACATCTGTCTCCCTCTTACCAAGGCTAGATTAGTGCTGAAAGCAGACAGGCTTTGAATAAGTGAATGAATGTCGATCTTAGGAACTACCAGCAGTATGCTGGACATCAGTGGCTTACAGAGTTGGCAGATGAAGCTAGGGAGGTCACTGAGGCCACAGAGCCATGGGACAGTCATGTAGGGATGATTACAACAGGAGGACTGCTCAGTTTCCAGTAATGAAACACGCATCTTTCCTGCTGAAATACCTAAAAATGGTGGATTAAATATCTTAGAGAAGATACTAGAGAAGACATCACAGAACGTCTTAAATACACCTATAATAAAGAATGCACAGGCTAAAGAGTCTAGAGACTGAGGAAGACA